GCATAGTGTTGCATAGCGATCGCGGGCATTCACTCATTTAGTTTACTATCACCTTAGGATTTTGCAATTTCGTCGTCAGTCAGCTACAACGTAGGACCAAGCACATATATGCATCAGTTCAAGTTGCCATACCGCATTAGCACAAGATGAACATTGAATTCATAGAAGTAGTTGATTCAATGGTGGTAATATATAAGAGAAAGATTGCATATAAGGATATAGTACAGGAAGAAAGAATTAGTTGATAGAAAGAAAGATATGAAGCAACTTTGATCTCCGAGTTTAAAGGAAAATAGAGAGTGTCTACACCGACGCCACTGTGACCGATTCTGAGACATAACACCCAGAGTCTCCAACCATTGGCTACGATAGTCACGCGGACCACAACCAAGTAGTCTGCATCTACCAACATGACTAATAGTAGAAGTTAATGTATTCAAGCGCTGTTGCCACCTTTTAGTTTGGCGATTACTAACATTCTTCCAACCATTCCCAATACTAGTCAGCATTGCACATCGTGGTAATCGGTGTTCAGCCATATGCAACACGTGGCCCAACCATCTCAGTCGATGAAGATTCACAACTTCATCAAGTGATTTACCATCATTCCCTAATACGCTATGTCTAACCTCACTATTACTTTCTCGGTGATCCCGGAAGATGTGAACATTTCTAAGGCATCTGTGGTCAAATACTAGTAACTCACGAGTATCTTCTATTCTTAATAAGCATGTTTCGCAGCCGTATAGTAGGACAGAACGAACTGCCGCGCAGTATACTCGTCCCTTAATTTATAGACGGATATCTCGCCTTCGCCATAGGTGACTTAAGATGGAGAAAGCCAAACGAGCTTTTCGAATACGTGCTGAGATCTCGTCAGACACTAACCCATTAGGGCTGATCAGACTTCCAAGATAAGTGAGGTCGTCATATCTAGTTCGAATTCGCTCCTGATCAAATTTACAACACATATTCCTTCTCAAATCATACTGTCTATGCTTAATGTTTTCTAAAACCATCGATATTGTTCTACCATTCTGCATTTGTTTTTATTATTTCACCTAGCTATATTGATATAGTATAGTAACTTAAACTGATGGAAATATGTCGCAAGTTGTTTATAACTGACTTTGTTTACTGCAAACTATGTGAAATTTCTTGCCATTATTTGTCAAAAATAACGACAATTAAATGAAAATGTACAGTTTAAGAAAATATACTCAATCAAAGAAAATGATTATGCTGAAGCATTCTATGCACAAAGTCAATTTATTTCATGGAAGATTCATGATAAATAATGAAAACTATAGTGTACTTCGGAAGTGTAACTCCGCCTGGAGTCCCTTTCGGGGGGCTATTGCCGGTCTCAAGCCCAGATAAAGGAGGAGGGTTGGGCATGGGGTTAGCGACCCCATGCCGTAGAAAACTAACTCGCTAAAAAAACGCTAGCCAGAAAAAATTATTCAAACCATTTAAACTCTGTCCTGGGAGTCAGGAGGTCTTCGTTTAAAAGAATTATGACGCCTCACGATGAAAGCCGAGTTCCTTCGGAAGTCACGAGGCCGATGCCCCTTCTAACAACCAGAGCAACCATTTATTTAGGTACATGGAATGCTCGCACAATGTGGGAGACTGGGAGAGTTTTCCAAATTGCTGCAGAAATGAGGAGATACAAATTAGAGGTGCTTGGGATCAGTGAAACACATTGGACGCAAGTTGGACAACAACGACTAGCTTCAGGGGAGCTGCTGTTATACTCCGGATATAAACAAGAAAATGCTCCACATACACAAGGAGTTGCATTGATGCTGTCCAAACAAGCACAAAATGCACTTATAGGATGGGAATCTCATGGACCAAGGATCAACAAAGCCTCCTTCAAAACAAAGAAAGAGGGCATTTCAATGAACGTCATCCAATGCTACGCGCCTACCAACGAATACAACGAAGACGCTAAAAATCGATTCTACGATAGGCTGCAATCAATCGTCGAGAAGTGTTCAACAAAGGACCTGACCATTCTGATGGGAGATTTAAATGCCAAGGTTGGAATTGACAACACCGGATATGAAGAGATCATGGGACGACACGGACTCGGAGAAAGAAACGAAAATGGTGAGAGATTTGCAAATCTATGTGCCTTCAATAAACTGATCATAGGCGGCACTATATTCCCACATAAACGCATACACAAAACCACATGAACTTCACCGGATCACATCACACAGAACCAAATCGACCATATCTGCATCAACAAAAAGTTCAGGAGGACGATGGAGGACGTGAGAACAAAGAGAGGAACTGATATAGCATCAGATCATCACTTGCTGGTCGCCAAGATGAAATTGAAACTCAAGAGGCACTGGACAACGGGGAGGACAATATCACAAAAATTTAATACGGCTCTTCTTCAGGATAATGACAAACTCAACAAATTCAAGATAACCCTCAGCAATAAGTTCCAAGCCTTTCATGATTTACTCAATGGAGAAGAAACTACTAAGGAGAGCAACTGGAACGAGATAAAAGAGGCAATCACTTCAACATGTCATGAGATTCTGGGCCAAAAGAAGCACCATCACAAGGATTGGATCACGATCAATACACTGGATAAGATTCAAGGAAGGAGGAACAAGAAGGAAGCAATCAATACCAGTCGAACAAGAGCAGAAAAAACCAAGGCACAAGCTGAATACACAGAAGTAAACAAGCAAGTGAAGAGGAGCATCAGAACTGACAAACGTAAATATGTGGAAGATTTAGCAATGACGGCGGAAAAGGCTGCATGAGAAGGAAACATGAGACAACTGTATGACACAACAAAGAAAATCTCTGGAAATCACCGTAAACCAGAACAACCAGTGAAATGTAAGGAAGGCAAGATAATCACCAACATTGAAGAACAACGAAACAGGTGGATAGAACACTTCAAAGAACTCTTGAATCGACCAGCCCCACTTAACCCACCCAACATCGAAGCAGCACTCACGGACCTCCCAATCGATGTTAGCACACCAACAATTGAAGAGATCAGCATGGCTATCAGACAAATCAAGTGTGGCAAAGCAGCAGAACCAGACAGCATTCCAGCAGAGGCACTGAAAGCAGACGTGGCGGCAACTGCAAGAATACTCCACATTCTCTTCAGAAAGATCTGGGATGAGGAACAGGTATCAAAAGACTGGAAAGAAGGACTTCTAGTCAAAATACCAAAGAAAGGCGATCTCAGCAACTGTGACAACTACAGGGGAATCACTCTTCTCTCAATACCAGGAAAAGTCTTCAACTGGGTATTGTTAAACAGGATGAAGGACTCCGTAGACGCACAACTTCGAGACCAACAGGCAGGATTCCGTGAGGATAGATCGTGCACAGACCAAATCGCAACTCTACGGATCATTGTGGAACAATCAATTGGATGGAGTTCATCACTCTACATCAACTTCATCGACTACGAAAAAGCATTTGATAGCGTGGACAGAACAACCCTATGGAAGCTTCTTCGACACTACGGCGTGCCTGAGAAGATAGCCAACATCATACGGAATTCCTACGATGGATTAAACGGCAAAATCGTTCATGGAGGACAGTTGACACAGTCGCTCGAAGTAAAGACCGGTGTCGGGCAAGGTTGCTTACTCTCACCCTTTCTCTTTCTCATGGTGATCGACTGGATCATGAAGACGTCAACATCTGAAGGGAGGCACGGGATACAGTGGACAGCTAGGATGTAATTGGATGATCTAGACTTCGCAGATGATCTGGCTCTTCTATCGCATACGCAACAACAAATGCAGGAGAAGACAACCAGTGTAGCAGCAGCCTCAGCAGCAATAGGTCTCAATATACACAAAGGGAAAAGCAAGATTCTTCGATACAACACAGCATGCACCAATCCAATCACAATTGACGGAGAGGATTTGGAAGATGTAAAAACCTTTACATATTTGGGCAGCATCATCGATGAACACGGTGGATCCGATGCAGACGTGAAGGCACGGATTGGCAAAGCAAGAGCAGCATATTTACAACTGAAGAATATCTGGAACTCAAAACAATTGGCAACCAACACCAAAGTCAGAATTTTCAATACAAATGTCAAGACAGTTCTACTGTATGGGGCGGAAACCTGGAAAACTACGAAATCCATCGGCCAAAAGATACAGGTGTTTATTAACAGTTGTCTACGCAAAATACTTCAGATCCGCTGGCCGGACACTATAAGCAACAACCTACTGTGGAAGAGAACAAATCAGATCCCAGTGGAGGAAGAAATCAGGAAGAAACGCTGGAAGTGGATAGGACACACATTGAGGAAAGCACCGAACTGCGTCACAAGACAAGCCCTCATATGGAATCCTCAAGGTCGAAGGAAGAGAGGAAGACCAAAGAATACATTACGCCGAGAAATGGAGATAGATATGAGAAAAATGAACAAGAATTGGATGGAACTAGAAAAGAAGACCCAGGACAGAGTGGGTTGGAGAATGCTGGTCGGCGGCCTATGCTCCATTGGGAGTAACAGGCGTAAGTAAGTAACTTCGAAAGTGTAATTATAAATTGATATCACCACCTTCAAAACAACAAAATACTTATTTATTTCACCACACTAGCAAATTCCAGAAGCCAGAAAATGTTCGATAATTTTAGTCGAGTCCTTATTCCAATCTTATAGGCTCTTTCAACATACTAGTCAAAAATATATAAATCAAGACATAACAACTTTTTTTATAAAAAAACATTCAATATTCATTAAATAATGACACAAAAGACGAATGGATGTTACATAACATGAATTCACCCAGCAAGTACAATTAATAAATAATGTTATACGTGCATAAAATGTATGTTGGAAAAATGATTGAAAAAAAACGTAACGATAAAAAGTGAAATGCAGTAGTTTATCATTACAAAAATGACTTATTATTATTATTATTATTAACATTCTGTAGCATTTAAACAACGTAAACGAATTTTTAGAGCATCCTCTAATAAATAATCACGTAAATTCCATAATGCTTCAGTTACTGAACAACTTTGAACCTTTTTAGGATCAGTAAAGAAATTTCCTATTAATTGATTAGCTATATTTGGTTGAACTGGTGGAGCTGTATCTAGAGAAGCTGACAATTGGTTATGCCAATCACCTAATCCACCTGGAGCATTCTTACGTAAACGACTAATGTAACTGTAATAACGAAATGCAACAAAAAAATTATCAAAAGTTACTTTGTTAAACATATACATTATTAAAAAATAAATAAAAAACATTGTCTCTTTTTGATAGTAGTGTAACTGAGATTATGCATTGAATATTGAAATGATGCTAACCTAAACCAACGTCAGTCTCCAAATAACATGTGTGTTTATAATATATGTGATATAATACTACAACTACTGTTATTATTATTTATTATGCTGAGGATTTCTGGACTTCATTATTTTGCAGTAACGATACAAGACAGACTAAAACTATGATTGAATAATTATTTCACCATTAGTTATGAATAATGTAGATTTGGTAGGAAATTTCGAGAATGTTCACTTGGTATGAACAAAATGTGATATGGTGATGTGGTAGACATTTAAAAATGAAGATATAAATGAACTGTGGCAAATCAAATATTTACCCCGTTTACTTATACCAGCAGTAGTGAACTAATGATATCCGTAATCAAAAAACCCCTGGTTTTATCATGAGCTATATTCAGAGAAAGTCAATCTAGATCCTTACTGTAGAGACTTTCGATCAATTCTACATTAGTGTCACTAACTAGTGAATTCATTAGATAGCAGACATGGAACTAAACACTCATGAATAAATTGATAGTATGTGACTTCAGAAAGGATTTTGAAAAGCTCAACACTAACAACTGAAATTCCAGGAGATAAATGTTTAATTGAAGGAATAAAATGTTAACTGGAAGTTCATGAGATCACACATATTTTGATATGCATGGTATCGCATTATAATTAGTCAATTATTTAGCGCACATCCGAAAGATGAGCATTATATTGTTGGCTACAATGATATTAGCGTACATATGTTCCCACTTACCGCTGGTAAATTTCAGAATGAAGTACACGAGAAGTTCGAGGTGGAACCGATACAAACATTGGAGAAGATGGGCGGCCCGTTTGAGGTTGAGTTGGAATGGTTTGGGGTTGAGATTGAATGAATTGTGTTCCTGGAACAACTGAAACAGAAGCCATTACATTCGGAGCGATTGGTTGACTTTGAGGAACTAGAAAAATCGATAATTGTGATTAATCAGTACAGGCAGCTTTGTTACGGAATGCAAGAAAACTTATGATGGTATATAAATAATATTAACAAAATAAAACAGAGACAACAATAATAAGTAATGTTTCCTACATGTTGTTAAAATTTTATCTTTGACGCTGAAAAATGATGATAGAAGAATTTTCAAACAAGCCAATTATTTTCCGAACATGGAATAAAATTTATACGAACATCTGTATTTGAATGAGGTCTAACAAAGAGAAGCAACAATGCTGTCTAAACAACCTAATATAAAGGCTTCGAGTATCTCACTTTTATCATGTAATTCATTCAGTGATCATTGGAGTTAGAGCTAATAGATTTGAAGTTTCAAAATATATCACAAACATAGTCGTTTGCACTAGTTAAATCATTTAACCGTTTACAATTTACAGAAAATAAAGTAAATAGAAAGTCGAAGCTAAGAGATAGGACAAACTTAAAGGGCTAAGAATTAAAACAATGCGCAGATTATTTAGCTCTTACGAAAAGTTGAGTTTATATTGATCAAAAGACAACAGATATGGAAGTAATGAAAACAGAACTTTGACTGCTATTGAAGAGACAATATTTAGGAAGTAGTCTTACTAAGGGGCAAAAAACTAACTCAAACAGTAAAAAAATGAACGAAAAGAAGGCAATTTGCAAGCACCTCAAGGTGAAAAAAAAACAAAAAATTACCTTGTTGTACTAACTGGTACTGCGGTTGTACTTGTGGCGCATAATCTTGAGAACAAGCTCCCAAAGTTGGTGCAGGTGGTTGAACAATATGTGGAGCGCCTACAGCCGCAACAGCTACTCCCGGGTGCAACAGAGGTTGATTTAATGTCGGAGTTGTCGTTGTTACTAAACCACCTTGTGCTAAAGCCGGAAATCCTGTTGAAGATACAGACCCTGTTGAACCTAAAAGTATCTGGGGCTGTTGAACGTTAGGCATAGAAGGACCTGTATTTGTACCCACAGGTAAAACGGGTGGTACAGTAGTTCCTGATCCAATAACAGTACCCATTATAGTGGGTGTAGAACACACGCTAGATGCAACCAAAACCCGTTGTGGCTGTTGTTGAGTTTGTGGGTGAAGTTGAGGTTGGTAAAACGGTTGTTGTGTTGTTCCAGAACCGACGGTTCCATTTGGAAGAATGCCATGTTGTTGGTTGGAAAGTTGATAAACAACCTGTCACATGTTCAATACAGACAACAAGGAACAAGAAACATGAGAAAATAGGCATTCTTAAGCTGTACATCACACATGAACCCTGTAAAACATTGTATGAACTCCAACAGATAACATACACAACAGAAATAACGATGCGTCATGGGGAAATATGAAACTATGTTAATAAGTGTTAATAAGACATATGTTCCTATGTGAAAATGAGAATAGTATCGCAATAAATCAAGAAAAATGGCACAAACTACCAATTCAGAGATCCGGTTTATGTATGAGATTATTCAAAATTATTTTCTTCGATTTCAATTGTAACGATGATTCATTATGAACTGAAGATTTTGAAATCCATTTTACCACACTAAAAAAGATTCTCATTTTGTCTTCATACAAGTGAACGTAATTCACTAATCTAATTATAAAGTTGAAAACTGACAGAATCAAACGTTAAACATTACAAACACATTGAAATGAACTGACCTGATGAGTTGGAGTGGCAACTGGACAAGCCGAGGCAATTGCAGGTATTGTCGCATATGTAGTTTGAACAATATTAGCAGGCTGAGCAAGAGATGCAGTAACTGTTTGAGCTGGCAACGCATTATGCCCAACTACACTAGGTGTTGTTGAGGCATGAACAATTTGAATGACTTGACCAGTCGGTGTTTGATAAAACTGCATAGTAGCAGCTGTAGCAGTGACAGGCATTCTAGATGAAGAAGACGGATTAATTGCTGTAGCAGAAGACTGAAGAGGTATTGTTCCACTAATGTTATGTGATGAAATACATGTAGCAGCTATTTGCTGTTGAATGTGAAGTTGTACTTGTTCTTGTTCTCTAGCTTTTATTTGCATTTCTTCTTCAGCCATATGTTGTCTAATTAGATGGGCCTTTTGTTCATATAAATCACGCTGAGCAGTGGGCATTTGACGCCACTACATAATTATAATATAAGAAAAATATAATTTAACTGAGATTGATGACCTTATTTGCTTAAAGATTAGAAATGAGATATCGAACACTAAACTTTACTCTGTTAGTGATACTTCGAAATACTCTATTTACACACACTACGTTATATATATATATATATATATATATATATATATATATATATATATATATATATATATATATATATCGATTTTTGCAAAAGTAGTATGGAAAGCAAATGTACAAGGATGCGATGTGTTGCAGTGACACAATAATTGGTGCTAACGTTCATGGATTGAAATAATGCATGTATTCCGAACAATAGACAAGAAATAAAAACAGAAATACAGAATTATAGTTGATGTATACATAGTTATAACGATACAAATTTCGAAATTACTAAGAATATACAAGACAATTCAGAGGAAACTATGAGTAAGTCTAGTCACCGTGACAAAGTGTGGAGAGTTTGTCATAGGGCATAATTCAAAATAAACCAAAGATAGAGATCATTTTTAAAGTGTTTCGACAGTTTTGATAACATTTAAAAACATAATGAGAACTTTCAGGTTATTTATGTCGATGTTAGGATATCAAAATAACATGTTTGTAAGCTATTTTGATGCACAATAAGAGTCAGAAGTTAAACACGAAAACAGTATTGATGGGTTTAACATAACCACTCACCAGAAGACCAACTTCACGAGATATTTCGCCGAATGGAGCATCAGGTCGTTCTTGTAATAACTTCTTTCTAATTTCACCGGCGTATAAAACATAACCTGACGGTGGTTTACGGATTTTCCTCTGAGAAAAAAAGATGAAGAAAAACCTGATCACAATCTATAATATAAAATCTACGTTCGAATGAAGGAAATGTACCTGGATCACGAAACGAAAACAATATCTTAAAATTTGACTTATGGAGCAAAGATTTGCAGTAACGATAAAAGTAGTTCATTATTTTAAAGAGTATAATATACCAGAGACAATAATAATCAGTCAACAGATCGTAATATCACTGCCAATTATTCCAAATATTGAGCTAACTTCGACTAGTATGACAAAATAATTTGAGATTATGATTTCACAAAGAACTCCTTATGCTAAATAAAACTTTCACAAATGTTGGAACTCTACAAAGAGCATAAAATGACTAACGTACCTTTTTACCTGTACGATCTACGTTATTTTCAATGAAAGCACGAGTCAGAGCATCGAGTTGAGCTGATGAAGTTATACCATGAACTAATGCATTATTACTGGTAGGTAAAACGTTAACTGGTGTGCGACCGACTACTGGAGTTGTACTATGTCCTGTAAGTGGACTAGATCCAGAGCTTTCACTTATTAATCCAGTAGGTATACGGTCATTTTGTTTCGCTGCATCAACAGGTGATAAATTGGGAAGAGAAATCATTGGAGCAGCAACCATATTGGTAGTAGTTCCAGCTGCTGCTGCAAGTGCGCAAGTAAATGCCAGAGACACTGGGCGATTTAATTGATCATTCTGAAGTGGTTCAGTGGATGCTTCAGCCAAAAGAGGTGATGCATCCTATAGGAAATTTAAATTAAAAGAAAAATACACGTTATTCATCATGACGCGAACATTAAAGTTCAAAACAAAATACACTAAAATAACCACTAAAAAATAACAGTAAGAACCATGAGAACTGAACTGAAAAGAATGATATCAACAACAAATCAGACATAAAAAAGAAAAGTTTTGAGGTCTAATTAAACTATGCTATTCACCTATTAGATTAAGGTTTATGTAGTATACTATGAACAACGCTCATCATGTACAGACTATACAGCCATTTAAATTGTATTAGACAGAGAGAGAGGTCGAGTATAGTAGCGTCAACACAATCAATGAAAGCAGTGATTAAGAAGTTACTTCACAGGTTGACGTTTTTAAAATGTTACACAACAAATAATCATAACATGTTAAGAGTATGAAGATCTGAAATTATAAGATAAAATCATTATCCAATACATAAGCATTATAGTTTATTATAAACAGAGATGATGGTAACTAGAAGTGGAATGCAAGACGCTCGTTTCATCCTATTTGGGACTAGTCAGCTGGATGTACCAGCATCCCATAGTTCATGATCACTCCGGGACTTGAACCCAGTACCGTTAGCTTCAAACGCCATCGCATTATCCAGTTAGCTACTGATAAATTTCAGTCCTAAACATCGGCGGGAAGATACAGACGACGAAAATGAAGAATAATCTATTCTTAATATTTCGCAAAAAAAGTATTAATAATGAAGAAATAAATTCAAATTGAAGTTTCAAATGAAAAGTTAGAGATGTGCACTTACTTTTCTAGGCATGATTTGTTGGGGAAAGAAATAAAATTCATCTTCATGTATATTGTTTGATGTAAATTGAAATTTCTAAGCAAAAGTAATGAATCGTGTACAAAGGATTTTAAAATACAATTTGAATGATAAATTATCATGTCGTAAATTGCAGACAAGTTACAAATATGAAGAATAAATAAATGAGTAAAACTTCAGTTTTATAAATTTGCCTAATATATAAATTTTGACATACATTACGTTCATATACTGAGCTTTAAAAGCTACCAACACACATAAAGAGTATGCAATATCTCTTATATTTGGTCATATAAATGAAATACTTGACAGGAATCTTAATATAATTTGAACTGATTAACTGAACTTTAAACGTATCACTGAATGTTTGTGATCAAAGCTAATACTAATTATGATATAATTGCTTGATAGGTGAATAGTAACCAATACTGTATTTGCTTATTTCCTTGTAGTGATGATTGGATCATACCAACCAAGTTTGAATATCCAAATCAGTCCAAGTGACTTGACTTGGATGGCTAAGTGATAACATTTCAGACCATGAAACTAAGTGACAAAGGGTCGAATCTGCCAGAAAGTACCAGTTATCTCACACACCTTATATGTACACCATACTGACGAGTACCAATTAGCATGACATCTAGGTCAAGAGTATCTTATCGACTACACTAGAAGTAGGATATAATCAATGACAACAATAAAACAGTTTTTAAAAGACTACAAACACAGGTATATAAAAGGTAAATTCATAATTCAAAGAAAACTTCTCACTGAATATGAGCAACAAAAATACTAACTCAGAAAGCATGAATTTATTGCATATTTTCAGGAAAATTTAAACGCAAACTATCAAACCATGTGAATATTTGTAGAAATAACTTACATAAATGACTAATCGTTTAATGAAAAAAACCATCATGTTTCCAATAATGTACACAGTAAACCTTAAGAGGAGCTTATCAGTTTTATAATATAAATCTAATTTACTATGCATGGAAAATTATATAAGCATTACAACTGTTCACTTACTTTTAATCCTTTCTTAAGTTTACGAATTACTTTCTCAGTTTCAAAATATTTTGAATCACACATGTAAATATCTTGCTCCGGTATTTCAGTGGGCCGAGCTAAAACACAGCACGTTAAGTTGTTTTACAATTATTCGTTATCAGTACAAATGAATAATAATAATAATAATAATAATAATAATAATAATAATAAAAACTGGTAATATTGAGATCATGAACCGATCAATGTTAAACAACCGTTGAAAACCTGGAAGTAACGAGCGGCCACTACGTTTAAATATAGGACAACTCAGCAGTGCGCATCCACGACCGCACACGCGGGTCTCGAACCCAGGACCTTCTGCCTCATGCGGACGCTCTACTTTTAGACCATTAAGCCGGGATCCAATGGTGTTAACGTCTAAACGCAACCAACCCACTGTATTGCGCGACCATCTCCCATTGTCTTCGGTGAGTAACTGTCTCACACCTGACACAACTGAAATCCAGTAACATGTGAATTCCGTGAAAAACAGTATTAATTTTCAAAGCGGATGAACACAATATTAGTTATATGGTATATTAATCCTTGATGGATAGAATTCGAACGGCAATAAAAAGAGCTAGACAAATGTGACAATGGTCACTACTCGGTGATCGATCCGTTGTAAATACCTGTTAGTCTTGCGGAAGGTCAGGTGTGGTGCGAATAGCTCAGTCTTCACGTTTAAAACTGTGAAACTGAGTGACATGTGTTCGAACCCACCAGTGAGCATCAGTTTTCTCAAAACTATATGTTCTTCTTTTCGATAAGTCCCAAAAACTAAGAAAAGTAAGTTCAAAACTTTTAATCACCTACTGGTAGAATTCTTCATTTTATTGATTATTATTAACAGAAAAAGAAATCATCTAATAATTAGTTACCCTGAGAGTAATCACATGGACGCATAACATAACATTTCCCTGTAGCTGAAGCAAGCGCATGAGTAGCATGATCAGCCCCAGTAAGAAATACTTCTTTAGGATAAAATAAACGTGTTGGTAAATGATCTACTGAAGATGAAGTAACGAACCATGGTCCAGTAAATAAAATAGCATTTTGACTGAAATTTTGAAAAAAAAAGAGTAACAGTTTTGGTTAGATGAACAAAAATGATTTTGGAGATAAAACTTAAAAGAAATCAACCCAGTGAATATCTATGTACTAAACTTGTATCACATTTATGGTGTCACAAATCTGAGATATTATTTATGTGTTCAAACTGAAGAAGAATCAGTTTTGAATGAAATCAGAGTTGCTGAATTGAAGTATTATTAAGCGGAATGATGAGCGTGTATTAATAATGTACTATTTCACGTCAAAAAATATCACCAATGAGCCAAACTTAGTATCAAAACATACAGTTACCTTGAAAGAAATTCAATTTGTAAACATTCAGTTTACTATAATTTCTGATTACACAACTTCTAGACAATGCAGGAATCTATGGAGCAAACCTGTGTAACATCTTTAAAGTATAATATTTTCATCATAAAGTATGAAGAGTTATTAAACAGCATCTCGCTTTATCGAATATATTTCAAAATAGACTAGAGGATTTAGATTAAATAAAGAACACGTTGTGGGAGATGATAACAGTAGAATTATTGACGAAAAATTAGCATATTTGAAAATAGTTGGTTGTTAACATCTGATTAATACAAAATACCAGAGAAATATATTGAAATCCTTCAGATGCTTAGAGAATCGCCCAGATTTAGTCTTCTAAACATTCCTGGGATTATATACATCAACTTCTGCTAGATTATTCTATTGTTACTTCAATCGATATTCCCAAGACTTTGCTTCGAATATAGTATCTATATCTTGCCCCATTCGCTAACACAGTTAAAGCTTATGTAAACCAAGATTTTCATGGAAATATACAATTTCAGCAACAGAAATTTCACAAAACATATAAATATCTGAAAGTATCACAGAGTGAGTTATTTTTTGGTAACTTACGCGCAGGATTTCCATAGTTTGTCGACTCGCACAATAGAACGTTCAGGAGATCCATTAGTGGAGGGGACATACAGAAAATCGCCTTTATGTACAAATCAAGGGAACACAGTTACGTGAAATCAATGTAATGATAGAATTAACAGATATATTTTTTAATCTGAAGAAGGAAAACTAATATGCACAATAGTTATGGGTGTTTCTTTTTTCTAAAGCTAGCAGAAAGTTATTTCTTGAACGCTTACTGATAGAGACAAATTAGAATGCTGAACTGCTGTTCAACATCATTATCACCACCAAGTGTAAACAGCATTCATGTTTGACGTTAAATTACTGAAAAACCTGATTGTTCGATAATTCACATTTCTGTGTTTCGCAACCAAGTGATGACAGAATCTGTTGCAACGGGGGATGAAACTGTTTGTCAGACACTACATTGGGCAGTCCTGACCGTAGCTGCCATCTTGGTGTATTGATAGGGCTTGTCTATCGTAGTCACTCAACTGAGCAATGTTGGCTGGAATATATATTTTTCTAAGTCCTACTATGTTAAGCAAGTCTGTTGAAGAACGGTTAGACTAAAAGCAGCAACCTAAGGCCCGAGGGATAAGTCGTACTGCTGACTGTAGATAGGTGTGAGAGAAGTAAGGTGTTTCGTTCTGAAAACCAGCGTCTGCAGCGATGCTTTTTCACGACGGAAGGAAGGGGTTAAAAAAGGTCGACTCTGAGAATGTCACACCACATCATACCACACAGATTTCATTTTCAGACTGTAGATCTTTTAAAATTTAGAGCTAACTCATCAAAACTTTCCCATAAAAAGGCCGTGTGAGAACGACCTCAAGCAGTTGTCTCTTGGGTTCTGAAGTCACGCTTCTAACTCTCTTGGACCACCACTAATTAAGCTTCTTTTACAGGTCCCCTTTAAGAAAAATATCCTTCCATGGTGTGGGCAACCCGGAAGATAAAACCGCACCCATACCTCTATCAGCACACGAGATCATTCACTTAATGTTCAAATCCCTATCTTACCTATTAATAATTCTTCCATCCACATAACTAAACCTTCTCATTTATCTTTATCAACACGCATTTACTTTACTGTAGCTGTTACTAAGGTCCATTTACAACGTTAAAATAGAGATAAAAGTGGTCCAGAATTTCTCAGTGGGAGTGAGAGATTTGTATGTTATGGTGATCATACTATTGTTCCGAATGTTTCTAGTCTATATATATATATATATATATATATATATATATATATATATATATATATATATATATATATATATATATATATATATATATATATATATATATATATATATATATATATATATATAACATCAAGTGAATGTGTGGAATACATAAACTAAATGCAGCATTAATCAAGTTTTGTTATTATTCACTTACCAAGTTTCACTGAAAATCCATTCTCATGAACATATTGCTCATAAACTATAGTTCCTTCAGTTTCAGTAAGATCCTCAAGAACAATCGACTATTGCAAATATAAAAAAAATAAGACAATTAAAAATACATATAAACACCTATATATTGAAACAATGCACTAAATTATTACTTCTTATCCATGATTCTATTCAGAGTATTGTGAATACAGTTCACTTAACCAGTATCATATGGAAACAATACTATGTTACAAAATCAGTCATCCGGAAAAGGCATAAAACTTGGTCCAAATGTGCATTAATCATAAATAAACACAAAGAAAAAAAGGCTACGGAATAAGTGACTTATCATTTCTAACTGAAACCTCACTGATAACCAGATTTTAATAATTTGAAATTTTTATGCACAAAACTATTTCTTGAAAATGATGAGATTCGACGAAAAATGAAATACTTACTTTCAAAGTCTGAGGCAAAGGATAATGCATTTGAACGAACAAACTGTTATTAACCTGTTCTAAGGCATTTCCTAAGGGTTCATTTGGAGGTAAACGCGTTGGTACAAATGGGGTAGGTCTAGCTTCTAATTCAATTCCAGTCGGAAGTGGAATATTCCAATCCTATAAACAAACATTGTAGTGTAAAGAAAACATCTGAGATATTTAACAATTATGAGTGTCATGATAATCGGATTCTAGGAACACTCTGATGAGCTTCCGAAAAAATACTGAGGAGGAGAGACAACTTAATTGTAGAATGATAAGATGTTTACGAGATTGTGATAAGTGATGGGAAAAGAAAGCAAAATGGATTGAAAACGTAATAGTGATAAATAAAACTAGATTTAGTTAAGTAACATTTGGGCTGACAGCTTGGCGATTAGTAACAAATGATCGGAGGAAGAAAGATCAAACTAGACAAGTGAAACAATGGGTGAGAAACTGATGAAGTGTTTCAGTTATTTATTTATTTGAACACATAAATATTGGTACATGTGGGAACTGAATACACATGTACCACACAACAACAATGAAGTTGTGAAGAGATAGAGAATGGAGAGTGAGTATAATAAAAGAGCGACAATCAACAAAAATCTGTATGAAATTGAAATATTAATAATCATAATAATGGAAGAAGCCGTTTAGCTAAGAAAAATACAAGAAAAGAAGTTCCTCCGATTCATATGAAGTAAAAGAAAACTAATGAACAACCCCTCCTGATTTCTATGCCGAAACATGTCTGATACCATCTCTGGCCAATGTGTTGTACCATTTCTAAGAACTCAACTACGGAGTCGTTAAAGACCAACAGCAGCTAGTCCTGTACAGCTTTCTTACATACCACGACACCTTGCCATACACTGATCACCTCTCCACTTTTTCCAACCAGTCTTAGCGTCAACAAATAACGGACGACGTGGAATTTTCTGGGACGACATTCATAAGACATGTCCAACTCACCAAAGTCAGCGTTACAAGATGCTGATACCAATTGAATTATCGTCGCTGTGTCCGAACACAGGATGCCGAACGTTTACATTATTAACATGATGTTGCAACCAGATGTAATCAGTAATCCTTCAGAGATAACAATGGTCGCAAGTAAAATAATATCATCCACATATTCAAGGTCCAAAAGTCTTTCTCCAAGCATCAGATCCACACCAACATTACCTACATCCACCACAGCTGATTCCAGAGCGTCATCGATGGCAAAGTTCAAGAGGAATGGTGAGATTGGGCAACCCTGTCTAATCTTACTGCTTCATTGGAACAATGGAGAGAAATGGTCGTATACCTTCACTCTACATGAGGTGTTTGTATATAGGGCTTCTAAGATGTCAGTAAACTTCTCAGGAACACCCTTCTTCAATAGACAATCTCAGAAAACAGTCCTGTCCAACCAAATGAATGCGGTCCTAGTATCAAGAAACACTAGGATTGTTGGCCTGTGAGAACTGTGACGATGTTCAAAACCTTTTGTGAAGGATGAAAATATGATCAACACATCCCCAACTAGAACTGAAACCAGCCTGCTCTTCACGAATCAATCTTTCTCGGGTTTTGAACAATCTATGAAGTATGATGGAAAGCAATAGTTTCGACACAATCGTAAGTGGACTTGTCCCAGATAGTTGTTCCGTAAATGACGTGAACACTTTAAAGATGAGGACAACAATCATGATATTCGAACACTTTCTGATTGCCTGACATTAGTGAACAATTCAGTCAGTTTCTCATTGGCACGCTCCGACCACCAGACTTCTCGGCCCTCATGGAAGCTTTGCACAATTCCATTACTCAACAATCTTCACCCTGACTAGACCGACGGGTTTCAGTGAGTTGTAAGGAGTCTGTAGAAAGTTAGTGCTTGTAAGCGAAACGTTTCGTAAAGCCGCAAGCGATTTTACTCGCCATTCTCATGGCGTCATGCTATTGTAATCAATGCTCATTTATACTTCCCGGTGGGATGGGGGCCAGTCTTGAACCTAGCTCGGTTTGATATTTAGTTGCAACAAAAGCTGCAACAAATTTGCTGACATTGATTTGTTTAGGACAATAAATTTGTTGACCACTGAAACGTAAGGTGAGATTAGCGCAAACATGAGTCCAGATAGGTGCTCCGGAAGAAGTGACAGTCTTGTACACAGCTACGCCAGCCGTAGCTGATCGCGATGTAATCAAACTGAGTCCAGGCTTAAGATGTAGATGGAGGTCGCCAGGTAGCACACCAACGATGACTGTGTCGGAAGTTAGTGTTAGCCAGGAACAGGTTGTACTCTGAGCAATATTGCAGTAGACACTTACCGTTATCTGTTGCAGTGATATCTATTTAATCTTCAGCTGCTAAATGCTGACAGCTTGAATGGAACATTTCCATAAGGGACTAAACTCTTGGTGAAATACAGAAAGTAATAACTAACTTTAAGCAAATGAGAATAGCAAGATCTGATAGGATAATCTCAGTAATCTTCAGGGTGTATGGTTTATTGTTGCCAAACAGATTAACTGCGATACTAGATAGGCGTTAGAAGCCGGATGCAACTGCATAAGACAAGTTATAATACCTGATCGTCCAAATGTATAAGAAACAATATAAATTCTATTGTAATGTCCATGACCATGAATAAATCACTTTTTAGAATCTTAGTTCTCATACTCATCCGTTTTATAAACAGAGCTCAAGATAAGTAAGCCTGACAAAACCACGAAGCGCTCTGATTTGTTTATGGATGTATTAAGTAAATTAAACAACATTTATCAACGTCTAACTATTTCCATTTTGACCTAAATATAGTAAAGGGGATCTTCAACCACTGTGTTGCGGTCATATATATTATCGAAATTAGTTACCAAAAATACGTAAACCCATTGGAGAACGTTTACCAGAATGCTATTGGTTAAATCAGAGCCCATAATAAACTATCAACAGTATGTCAACTGAAGTTCGTCAAGACTATCTAGTTTTTTTATTATTATTATTAGATTTTTAGTACAATATAGAATTCTCAGCACAAAGTATTTCAACAAGTTTCTTTTTCTTATTTCTTGATCGACCCTTATGATAATGATTGGGTGGTCGCCAATTAGATGTTAGCAGTTCAGGAATTCATATCTGATTAATGTATATTCTTTTCAATGAATATTGCCATCAACCACGATGTCTCTGATTGGGCTCTTCTGTACAGCGAAATTTCGTAAACTTTTCACAAGCGTACCCGAATAGGTTATGCGACTAATAGGCACAATGATGTGTTAAAACAAACAAGAAAACAGATAACTTGTTGAAACACCCAGATGGTAGGAACAGACAGCACAAATATTCAGCAGGCTTCAAAGTGCTGAGAGGACGAATGTTACATTAACCTACTTTTATTCAATAGCTATCATGGAATGAAAGCTCCTAAAGTTCTACCACAGTCTTTAGGTTGAAGGCTAGATGAGAAACCCTATAAGAAATCAAACTGCTTCAGTCTGGGCTCTCGAGCAGTATCCCAACACACCCGCAAATTTTACCTGTGTAGCACCTACTTTTTATGTTGCGCAGTTATACTAGATTTATGTGGATAATAATAATAATAATAATAATAATAAATAAATAAATAAATAAACCTAAATATAAGAATATATTGCATAAGTCACAAAAAGAAATGAATCAAATTGTATTCTTTTCTTAACCTACCCTGATTTTCACAAATAACTGAGATGTAATGGAAAACTGAGATTCGCAAATAAATACATCACGTTCTTCAAGGTTCTAAACGGAAGAGGAAGGAAGTACACATTGAAAAATAAAAATATTTAAAGGCAAGTTAGAAAATACTACTGGTAATGTAATGGAGGGCAGTTCTAATTAAATGTTTAAATTATTTAATGATGCAAATCTCCACCATTTCAACATTCGTAAACATAAAAATTAGGAATAAATTTTATAGAAAATAAAACTGACATTTATGTTTTGAAACCATATATATACCAATCAGTCATCCTCAATCGGCTTATTTAGTAAAAGTAGGTAAGTCCATTGCGGATAACTGACTGTTATGCGTGTATGACGTTTTTTTACCAGACCATCGTCTATAACGCAATTATATATATATATATATATATATATATATATATATATATATATATATATATATTTAAAGAAGTAATTCTGTTTAATGTCAACAAATAAATAAATAAATAAACTAAGCTTAAGTACATGTACGGAAAATATCAGCTAATAAATTTACAGTGACTGAGATGATCAAAAGATATTCACTATGTCGACAGAGTAAGAGCGGTGACTCAATAGTTAAGGAATCCAAATTTCAGCCATTAAGTTGTAGATTAAAAACCAGCTCATCTTACTTCTTCATTCGGGTAGACGGTTAGTATCACTAGCTCCTATCACACTTCAAGTCTGATTCATAATCAAGTATACGAATCTGTATACACGGTAACTGGGTTAGTAATAATAATATACTGATAGCAAGGATTTAGATTATCATTTATCATGTGTTTTTTATGTTTTCCATTTTCTATTTCTTCATAATATTGTTATTTTATAGGGCAAACTTATCACACCATAATTATCATCAATTAATTAATGACAGCCAACTAATGGTCAAACTTGAACGTTTCTATTGATCAGAACATCAAAAGACTGGATGGATGTTTACAAGCATCATCTGTAAATTGAAATTTATAGTCATTTTTAAGTACAGCAGTGAATGATGCTTTGATATTTTAGGCATTTTCTTACAAACGACAAAATTTACAATTGTTAACTAACTTTTGGCTTGTAACGAATGAATTGCGAAATATGCATCACAAGACAACGTCCCATTATTTGATTAATTTGAACTGTCTCACCAAGAGCTGTACGAAAAACTTCAGCGGCTAAAAGACGCCTTCGACGTGAAGGATGTGCTTCAGCTGGTCGTAAGTACATAGACAGTCGAACATTAATTGTATAAGGATGATCGACCTTCACAGACGATTCAATGTTATCACAACCGTTTCCCTTTTTCGATTGATCTTCCTTATTAGGTATTTGTTCTTCGGTTTTGGACAGCGAATGCTCTACCCGGCTAATACGTGTTATACGACCAATATGACATTGAGTAACATTGGGTCGCATTGGTTCAACATACACATAATCTCCAACATGATAAGTTTGACCACGTGCTTCGAAATGCTTAAAGAAATATTTGATTACAAAATAATTATTTACTGAATTGAGTGAAAATCTTTCGTTTGCATAATTACAAGATAAACAGTTTAATCTTCGAAACTCTTCTTGATGAATTGCTGTAAAGTATTTCGAAAAACTATTTCAGATCACATAGATATAATACATTCTACATTCTATCTATAAGATAGACAACAGTGATATAAAGATGCTACACAGAATGCAAAAAAATGCAAAACTGACATCATAATTTGAAACTTAGTTTAAGTGTGGAAACTGTATAGACCCCAATTATCTATAATACTACTGGGTAATACTAAAAAAATAATCATAATGAAAACATACTTTCAATTCGCATTCTCCATCTGAAAGTGGATTTAAAGTTTCTTCTCCGTTTTCATCATCATAAACTGGAAGTTTATGGTTTTCATTTTCTTCAGTGATGTCACGTTCTAAGGCTGCCTCTGTATACGACAATGCAGGACTGTACAGAACCACATGTGAAGGTAATACAGATCCAGAATCAGTGTTTGGTGAGATCTGAGTTCCCGATCTCCGATGGCATAATTCGTCCCTAAGACGAACCCAACGGTGAGCTAATTCGGCAGCATCTAATCGTTGTTGTTTAGTAGGGCAAGGATTTTTCACTTCCGATGGTTGATCAGATCCTTCTCCGATTCGGGCTCTAGCTAATATCCCCAGCCAATCTGACTGAAGACTATCAAGACGATGATAAGAACCTTCTGCCACTGCACGATGAAGTGCAGCCAAACGAGCTGCAGTCACTGAAGTAAGCATAGACTCAGTACCATCACCAGCTATTAATGAATCTACTAATCCTCGACCATCTGCATCGCAAGCCGTTAACATTGCATTATGAAGATTAGTCAGCAGACGACGTAAGCCAGTAGCAACATCAGGAGCAACACATGGAGGTATTGAGAGTGACTGTTGATGGGCAGACAATAATAATGATCGCTTGGCAAGACATACTCGATGAAGTATCAGTGCATCCTAAATCAAAGAAAAATGTAATAATGCATTAAGTTTTAGAGCTAGTAAAAAGTTGAGTGAGTAGCTAGGTAGAAAAATCAAGCTCACCGCATAAATCTGTGAATCAGGTTCATTAAATCTGCATGCGTTGTCAAACATTAGGAAAAGTTCACCAGCGAATTCTTCAAAATCCGTATATTTCATTTGAACCAGCTGTTTAGCCACACTTTGTAATTCTACGGGTTTCTTAATAAACTCATAATAAGTTGGAAGCTCATTTCTAGTTGGTAAACGCATAAACGGATTAGATAAAACTCTTCCGTTGATTTGATATTCACGAACTGCCTGAAAAAGCTCCAACATGACACGCTGTAATAGTGAACAAGTTGGTTGGCCAGATTGTTGATGATGGACAGCAGGAACAGTGTTGACTAAACTAGCATGTGACTGAATATTTGAACTGTCCAACTGTTGTGTTAACCTAAATTTAACGTAAATTTAAAAATTAGATATGAAAGTTGGGATGAATTTATAAAAAGAATGGGAAAAAATTCATTTATATAATTAATTTACAAATGAAGGAGACTGGTTAAACAACATAAATGCAAATTAATGGAGTGAATTCGACAAAATGAGTAAATCAGTTTGTAAACTAAAGGTAAGAGAAAAATTACTGCCACATTCTGTTACCCAATATTTATATCACGTTGATTTCTTCTGAAATGAAACAGAAATATCCAGGTTTTGTTACATGTAAAACATGAAATTACAAAACCTGAGAAAATCAAGACATCTAAACAACAAGAATAATTTTAAACGAGTTTGAACGTTTTAAATCTTCGGATCACCCACACGACATAAACTAGAAACAATACACATTTAATGACAACACAAAGACAGTAGATTTACGACGCATGAAACGTTAAGCTACTATTTATTAGAATTTTTTATAATCCAAGCTTATTCTGGGAGATACCAACAATTTAATCATATTTAATGACGCTTATAGAGAAATTATAATTTATTAGATATGGAAGTGGGCTAAATTGTATGTTGGGACAAACTATAATTTTTGAACGAGAATTTCATTTTCACACATTAATTCTGCTGATGAAATCTCTTGCAATAATAATGAATCAGCAGCTCAAATTACTTGTGTTTGTTGGTCTGTCAGCCACAAAACGAGGAACATGATACAAATGTGTACAATATGTGAAAGAAGTTTTGAATAACCTATTGATATAATAAGTTTACAGCGTCAGATAATATGCAAACATTATATCATTGTGACGACAGAGATTTAATAACAAACTAATGTCCTTGAGAAGAATAGAAACCGAGCTTTGGGACAACCTGTGAAGACTAACATTCCCTCTTTCACACCAACCATACTGTTGACAAATAACAGGTTATAGATTGTATCACAAGCGTAGCAGGATTTCCTTACATATTCACCACTAAGGAATGTTTTTGATCCGTATGACTGGACAGTGGTTAATTTGGAATAAGGCATCCGTTGTTTTATTGCATAACATTTCCACAATCAACACATTAAAATAACAGGCTATACGATTATCATTACCGTCTGTTTGTTGTTAATAGTGATAAAACCGACATGCTTTCCTTCGCAAATTTATGATCTAATTGTGTTATTTGTTACAAGGAACAAGAAAATAAGTATGTAATAGATTGTTTGTTTTTGATGTAATACAACTTTGACCTTAGAGATTTACACTGAAAAATACTTCCAATAATATAATATAACATAATGATATAATAATATTTAATATATATGATATATAATAATATAATATATTTTGATTCATAGCAACTGCAAGAAGAGAAGTGAAACTCACGGTTCCGTAGTAAGTGAACTACGCGAAGTTATTGGTCGATTAACATTGCCATTATATGAGACAAAAGTCCTCAAGCGCTTTTTAACAATCGAATCCAAAAGCTTTGCATCATTATAAACTGACGAACCTTCTTCATTATAATTGCAAGCATTGTTAAACATCAATTGAAGATCAAGAACCATTTCATCGTGTGACGAGTACTTAGAAAGATATGGAGGGATAAAAGAGAAAATGAGAGAGATCTCTTCAAAAATAAATACTGTAAAACCAAAATACCTTATATGTTCTTTGGCTCTAGTCAAGATTTCGCGGGATGACTCTCCAATACAATAGGCATCACAATCGATACAACGTAATTTGTAGACGCAGTTTTGTGTGTACATGAAGGGGATTTTGTCTTTTAGGTGAACTAAAGTATTACGTAGTGTGTTCGTTGTTTTTTAGTATACTTTAATTCTGTGTTGTTTCAAGATTCTTTGGATTTCTTCTGTTGTGCCATGACGGTATGGTAAAACTGCAGTACCAATCCATGGTATTTCATTCGAATCATTATTATAACGTAATGAACTGGCACACAAAGAAACCTCCTAACAATCCTGTAGAATTGAACCAACTTCAAATTAAATTGGCAATAGCAGTTCATGCCATTTTCAACAAGCACCAAATCGATTTTAAAAATATCAAAATATTGCAAAAAGGCTTTTCCAACTACAAAGAAAGAAGGGTAGCTGAGGCGTTCCATATAATGCTTAATCCTACTTCTCTCAACAGAAAGGAAGGCCTTACCATACATCCTACTTGGACCACTCAGTCTGATCATATTTACAAATTCACACTATCATATTACAAATTTAAACTCTATCCCATCTTACCATAAAGGTCACACAATTTTTCATTCTTAAACAATGCACACAACATACACATGCAAATTCACATACATATCACTTATGAATCACCTTGACAAAAATGACATGACATCAACTTGTTCATATCTGTTTTTTGATTGATCAAATATTATTCTTGTATTGTTCCGTTGTACTATTTAAACTTGGATTAATTTTAATTTGATTATTTATTCTCTGAAGAAGTGACTTACACTAAGCCACGAAACGTCAGAAAATCTAATTTTCTACTCATTGGGATATTACAAATATATTATTTATTTATAACAATCAACCCAATGCTCAATTTATTCGAAATTATCAAATCAAACCTTGGTAATGATACCTATAAACTTGGATTGATTACATCTTTTCAAAAATATTAGAACAATTTTCTTATTTAGTTCCCTTTTGTAATTTTACATATTCTCAACATCTGTCTTTTCATTCTTACATAGCTACCACAATACTGACCTTTCATTAAAGTGTTTTGTCAATATTTTTAAATATTATATAATGTAGCAATTGTTTAGTTGGACTTTTCGAGTAATTACTTTGATTATTATAATCTTCTGTCTTCCAACTACTCAATATTTTATAATCATTATGACATTACATTATGCAACTACTCGATTAGTGCCAATGCTGAACATGTGAGCCAATGTTTGAAAGTTGATTATGTGAAAATCACTGAGCTACCATCATTTAACACAGTGAATAGTTAATAAACGGAATTATCTATCAATAAACAAATGTAATATAATTTTTATAAAAGCTTACTTTTCCTTCATCCATTTTATGTTTAATCATTGTTAAATCTATTGGATTAGAAATTACTTGGTAATAATCTGGATGTACATCCTTTGATGGTAAGCTTACAAATGTATCTCGAGGATAATGTCCATCGTTCTAATTAAACACAGGATCAAAGAGAAGAAAGTATTACAACTAAATAATAGAAATAATAGTCTGGAAAATATTAATAAATCAAACTATATAATACATGAAATTATGTCTATAAGAAGAAAACAAAAAACAACTTACTGCACGAAAATAGTAAACAGTTTTGTATAAATTTTGCAGTCTTTTCAAAGTAGCCTCTTCTCCTGTAACTAATTGATGTCCAGATCGTCTAAGTGGAGTTTGATCATATTGTGGATAATTTATGCTTTCTGACAGTGTAGTTGATGATACAGTTAGATTACTTCCATTAGGACTGAATGGGACTGTATCTGGATTATCTGGTTTAATGTTCAACTATGAAATATGAATGGGAAAATAATCATACAAAATGTTAGTTTCTTTTACAGACATAAGACAAAGTTTAATGAACATAATTATTATTATAGTTAAAATAATAATAACAGAACAACAAAAGCAAAAATTACTACGATGAATCATTAAGATCTACCATAATACACGTGCCAGGTTATTTTGTGATCCACTGTTCATGTTAGATATTCAAATTAGTTAAGGTTTCCAGGGTCGGTGTTAGTGTAAAGTAATGCCAAGTAGGGAGGTTTACTTGATGGGTTCAGTAATAAAAACGATTAAACATTTAAAGTTCCTATAATCTCACTTGTGGAATGGGATATACTTGAATGTATAAGTATATTTAAGGCATTTTCAGAGAAGTAGGCATTGATGCAGCAAACAAAAGATGGGAGTGATTTTATTTCATAGACAGCTTGTGATAAATTATTCTTAAGTCTGGAAAATTTACTGGTAAATTGATTCATATGAAGATTTAGAATGAGATTTTTTCATAAATGACAAAGAGTTATGGATGCTTTAACTAGGAGTAATAAACATTATCATAAGTGAACAACTTACTGCTATTTCTGAATTCTTAAGTTCTATACACTTTTTATGGGCAATCTCTTGCAAACGAATAGAATCCTGATGTATTGCACTTTGTTCAACATTATATTGTTGAGCATTGTTGAATACTATATCTAAATCCATGAGAACAGTATCTAATGAAGGGTATTCATATCTCTGAAAAAAAGTAGTCGTATATAAAATAAGATTGATGATCTATTTACTTCACATAAAATTAAGGGCAATTTGTAAAATATGTCCAACACTAACCAATTAATCAATATAACTCGTTTAAAACAATACAGGATAACATAAGAAATATCAATATTAATATTAATAATAATATAATCTCCACGAATCTCCCATACTAATAATAATCCAGTGCTCAATAGTGACTAGTTTCGATATGTAACTCATGGAGTTCTAGTGAGAAGCTGTAATCAGTGGAGTTCAGCCTGTGTCGGGCGTGAGACAGTTATCCACCGCAGGTAGTGGATAAAGGATTGGGCAAGATCATAGATTGATTGATACTCCACACTAACACTGTTGGATCCGAAGCTCAGTTGTCTAGAGGTTAAGCATACGCGCCCGAAACAAAAGGTATTGGTTTGATTCCCCCGTCCGGGATCGTGGATGCGCACTTCTCAAGACTCCCATGCTGTCCAGCGCTTGCAGGTTTTCAATGATGATCTAGCTGAGATCAGGTCGTGATTTTAACTTTGAAAATATTACAATCTCCACACATCCCTCATAGTAATAATAAAAACAACTACCTTAATTTTTTTCTTGATGCTCGAGAGGCATAATGGATTGGTAATCTCTTCATAGTAGTCAGGATATAATCTGAAACCAAAAACCAAAAACGAATAATTAAGTGTGGTAAATGATGATACGTGTGAATTCGAAGAATAATTTAATCTTCAAATACATATTACGCACACACCTTCTAGAAGGAAGTCGGAAAAATGGTGTTGACATTGGTTGACCCTCTTCATTAAGAGCATCCAATACGACTTGTAAAAGTTTTTCTTGTAAGCGTCTATGGGCTCGTGAAGAACATGAATGTGGTAAATTATTTCCACCTAGTTCACCAGTTGCACTTGTACTATACTGAGAATGTATGCTTGCTGGAGAAAGAGGTTCTCTTGATGGACTTCGTTTTATTGTATCTTCAGGATAGGGATTACGACGAGGGCGTCCACGTTTTCTTTTTATGGAAATTGAAGCTACTGATGAACAGCTTTGAGATGTACCAGTTGCTCGAGTATCCTCATCATCCCCAGAAAGTTCAAAAGCTGCTTCCGTAGATTCATCTATTTGACTTGAACTGTCGGGAGGATCAGATAAGTCAGGCATTGAAGCAAACTGTTCCACAACCTCATGTGGTATGTAATTTAAACGAGATGCACGCCTTAAAGTTAAAAAGAAAAATGATGCATACATTATTATGAGCTAAAAGCCTAAGTGGCACAAAAACGTATATTAAGACAAGCGATGAAAACATATAGTTGTATATTGTTAGGAACAAACTCGAGATGCAAATGAAAGCTTTTCCCCACTTACTTTCCACGCTCTCGGTTAGTTCGAACTGGAGGATGTTCTGCTTCACTACGTTTACCCTTCAAAATTCTGGCCAACGTTGCTGCATCCTGAAGAATAAATGTGACATTGGAAGTTATAAGTATATGAATTATTATGCTAAACGAGGTCTTTTAGCTATAAGAATTGTTCATTTTAATGATAAAACAAACCAAACTAGTTGGATTATGAGGTTCTTACTTGATACATAATGACTACGAAATGAAAGTCAACACACAAACACAAATACGGTTAGTCCAAAACAGAATTATTAATTCTCTAACCAACCTGGTAGATAACTGACTTTGGTTCGTTAAAAGTCTTAGCGTTACGAGCTAACAGTAAAAAGTCTCTTTCCAACTCATCCATGGAATTATATTTTCCAGACGAAATCCGTTTGGCAATCATTCTTAAGTCAATTGGCTCCTTGATAACAACGTAGTATACAGGATAAAGCTGAAATAAAGAAAAAGATTGATTAATTGAAGGATAACGGGATACAGTCCATATTTTAATTGTTCACATAGTTACAATAAAATCAAATATTTATACTATGTTGCGTAGTAAACGGCTCTACGTCAGTCAGTCAGCTACAACGTAGGACCAGGCACATATATGCATCAGTTCAAGTTGCCATACCGCATTAGCACAAGATGAATATCGAATTCATAGAAGTAGTTGATTCAATGGTGGTAATATATAAGAGAAAGATTGCATATAAGGATATAGTACAGGAAGAAAGAATTAGTTGATAGAAAGAAAGATATGAAGCAACTTTAATTTCCGAGTTTAAAGGAGTGTCTACACCGACGCCATTGTGATCGATTCTGAGACATATCACCCAGAGTCTCCAACCATTGGTTACGAATCACGAGGACCACAACCAAGTAGTCTGCATCTACCTACATGGCTAAGATTAGAAGTTAATGAGTTCAAGGACTGATGAGAATTCTATATTGTACCAAAATATAATATTGAATAAAGCCATAAATAAATAAATGCCACGTTTTGGTTTGGCCCCCACTAACTTTCTTTAATGGCTTATATCGTAACCGATATACGATTTCCAGGATTACTGATTCGCGTCTGTTTTGAAAGAAAAGAGTACAATCATTTCATCAAGTGAACAGAAGTAGGAGACGTAAACTAACACATACTTTTTGTTCTGAAAAAGACATAGATAAATCATAGTAAAGACCATAACTGTCATCAGAATACACACACAACTACCTGATAACTAATAAATAATGAATGTATATTTCAGTTTTACTAAATGTTACTACCAGTTAGTTGCACAACAAAAACATTATTCAATTGAAATCAGTTAAGTTACCTTTCATAAATTAATCAAACAGGAATAAATCAGCAAATAACTGACCTCTCTAGATGGTAGATGAGTAAATGTTGGGGCTAATGGACGATCATTTTCGCCTACATATTTTGCAATAGAAGCAAACAATAGTTCATATGGATTATCCAACTGTGTTGAACTTGGTTGACTAGATGTTAAATTGACAGTGCTAACTTCTGATGGAGCAATACGTGAATCATCTGAAGCTGCGATTGACAAAGTTTCAGCCTTAAGAATTCAATTGGTAAAAAACAAAAGATGATAAAAAAATGTTTGGAAAGGACGACACTACTATAACTTTATTCAGCAATGTTTGATGAACGCAACCATAAAGGAAGAGATTCTAGATCAAACTACGAAAACACTCAAGAGAACAAAGGCAAAAATAAACAAGTAAATACCTCATTTATGACACTATTTTAAAGATAAAGAGACCACGAATCACATTTATTATAGGGAAATGAGCTATGAAGATTATTCTATGTCTGACAATTCTTATTACGTCTCTTTTCACTAATTTATTGTATGCTGCTGACAGACTGAATTTCAGATTTTTAACTTGAATATAAATAAATTGAAGACAGATATTTTCGATGATAATATCAACTGACTAGACACTTAAGAAGACAGAGTTAGAAGCCTAGCCTACAAGAGCTTGATACATGTTTCGTCACATAAAGGTTAAATAACCACATTTTTTGTCCCATTATTGTACCTTTTATGGATGAGGCTAACTAGAATACCAATTACCTGTGTCGAGTGTACATGTGAACGAATAGAGTTAGAGTACTTTTTAAAAGTGAAGGTTTTAGGCAATCCTCTACATCTTCCAGTTAATAACAGCTTTAGCAGCATTTGCAAGTAACATATTTAAGGTTGGACATCATATTTTGAGATAAATCAAACACTAAGTGGATGATTTATGATGATAAAATAATAAATTTCCGACATAATTACGGCTGTTTTGATTGCATTGAATATCTTGGTGCTTTTTTCTGGGTTGTTAACTTTTGTTAATTTAATTGGGTCATTTATTTATTCTCTGAAGCATAGACTTGCACTATATAGTAAAAGGCTACAAATTCGATTCCCTACCCAGTGAAATATTACAAATATGCTACTTACTGTTAGTGACAGATGTGAAATTTTCACCACATCATAAGCACCGACCTTCACTGTAAAGCTTAGACATTATCAATCATGCAGTTAATGGAGTCTCGTAACTCTATTAGTTTATCGTTTAAAATTACAGAAATAATGACGTAATTATCATAGGACTAAAACTATATATCAGATAAATACATGAAGTATTTGATCAAATAAAGTAGAAGATACAACAGAACATTTTACGAAAGAAAAACTGTATGACAACCAAACTTATACGTTAAAACCAGTTATTTTACATAGCATCCAGTACAATCGATATATATATATATATATATATATATATATATATCGAATCAACAAACCTCTTCTTCATCTCGTTCTTCGGTAATGAATGGACGTCTGCGAGTTGCACGCCTATCGGTAACTAAAACAGAATGATAAAAACACTGAGCAACTATATATATAAAAACAGTAAGATGATAAAGCGCTTAAAAGGTAAAAACCAATCATTTTTTTATTCTAAAATATTCTACTAAAAATTGTAATAGTTTAAGAACGTACCGCTACTGCTTGCTGAACTTGTAGTGGAGTCAGTACTCTTGGTAGTTATTGCTTGAAGTACCTGACGCTCATGGTCAAAAACATCTTGTAATTCAACAGCTTTGGCGAACTCAGTTGTTGAAGCTGGATAGAATGCTTTTGTATTGGCTACTATTAAATTAACGTCCGTAGCCATTTGATCGACGCTTTCGTACTCACATGCCTTAATTTTTGCTTGAATACGAGCTAAATCCATAGGTTCTCTTACTGCTTCATAATAATCTGGATTTGACCTATATGGGGGATTTTTAATTGCCAAGTTTAAAGAAAGTGTCTTGTTAAAAGGAGATGAGTAGGAATCATAATAATAGTATATTAGTTCATATTAATTTGAAACAATGAGAAAAAGTTAATACACGAAAGCAAAATAGTTATTAATTCCAAGTCATACCAGCTTAAATTGCAACACCATCTCACCATAAGATGAATTAGTAGAAGTATCAATGATAATAAGAATAAATACAGAGAATATTATTTGAGAAGGAATTAGTTAGCGAAACGAAATGTATAAAATAAACTTAAAACTGTAGATCAGAATGAAGATAAAGTGTGGTTGATTCTGAGCTATCTAAAACATTCCCAATTATTTAGTATCGAGTTACAACAAGGCTCAGGTCAATTGTCAATAAGTTTACAGACAGGTGGGACATCTTAATTCGGCTATTCCTATGCTTCTTCCAAGAGGAAATACTAAAAGTAAAACAATACTTAGCTTCTGGGCTTTTATTTAGACGTTAGCAGATATATACTTAAATCAGAGCAAAATCACAAATAAAGCGATAAAAATTTAACAACCCCCCACTCACATCTTGTAATATTGGTCAACAGTGTCAGACATTTGATTGAAATGGGCAACCGCAAAACTAAACAAAAATTTTAACTATATTTGACACTTCTACCGATCAAGAACAAATAGTTGCTCAACCAAAATTATCAGTTAATCAAGTTGAAATTTAACAAAAAATACCCCAAGTTTTTTCATTCCACTCAGATTGTCTAAATAGGAAGTAGATTTGCAGGTGATTTCAACTACAGAATGCCAATATTACCAAGCATAGGTTTAAGGCTGTTGATACAATTCATCTATGTTGCCTCATATCAGTTAGCTGATGCACAAGGAAACACAGAAGCATTTAGAAACTTTTTAGTTACTGTTCGATAACTCAAGAAGATACCGAACAAGAGACCACTACAAGATACATGTGAACGTTTTCTTTCGTCAATCACAATAAAACGTGCGTCAGCCCAACTTTTTATAACACACTAGTGCTATGAGATGAAATTAACAGGATGAGTAGGATAGGAGTCGAAATAATAATAGTATCAATGGTGGTAATAAAGGCCAAAGATTGATGTTTTATTTGAAAAAGAAGGAATGAGGAAGAGGTAAGAGGAACTATTAGGGCTCGAAACATAAGGACGAATACAACCGTCCTACTAAAACCGATATGAAGCCTAACTAATAACGTCTGCGACCACTGATCATAGATGCATTCATCTCTTTTCCTTTAGATCTTCAATTGTGAAGTTTTGCTAATGTAGGATTTGTCTTGATACTTGTTGTGATAATTTGGGGTACCAACAGAAACCGAATAACGTATTAGCCAGGTTCTGTGTTGCATAAAACTGACTGGCTAGTGGCAGTTGTCGCGTGAACACTAAGCAGGTAATTCGCATGTACTAATATGATTCAGTTGAACAATCAGTGATTTCATAGAGTGATGTTTTGTACCTGTTTGATCACCTTTATTTTTCTTTAAACTTACTCCTATATTTCATGCTGTTGGTTCCCTTTACGAATTTGAATAAAGCCAGGATCACAAATGAGGCAGAATAATATGAATTCACCATATTTAGTGGCTTTTCTTCAGATGCTTACAAGCATATATATATATATATATATATATATATATATATATATATATATATATATATATATATATATATATATATATGATGGATCGTGTGATAATTATACAAGTTGTGAAGAGTTTACATAAGACTCAGGTTACTTGAAAGTGGATATGAAAGACTTAGAACAATGAGATAGTTATTATCTAGAATTAGAAACCGAAGGGTTACGTAATAACTACACAAGATTTGAAGAGTAGGCATAAGTTCACAGAACTACTCCTAAATGACCGAGAATTGTGTCGACTTAGGCGACGGCCAGGCACAAGTAAAACATATCCCAGACACCTTATTAGATGTAGATCTATAACTTAATCAACCGATTTGTCATATTTACCTAGTACCCTACATCTGACCTCACTGGTGCTACCACGTGATACCGGTGAAATCACACAAATCAACTGTAAAATGCTCAGAAACACAAGGAAATAGCCACTCACTAAATCAGGTTTGTGAAGACAAGTAATTAACACTAAGGTATCTTAAAAGTAACAACATACATCTACGGTTACAATAAATGCAGCATCGGTAAATGTAAGCTATGATTTGGGTTGAAATAAGATGCTAGGTGAGTTATTAGTGTAGTTCGCAAGGGTGTGAGGCTGGTATTATAGTTTCGGATTGACACTCGTCAGTAATAAGGAAAAGAAATATTTCCAGGTTTTCGAGAACTGAAATAAGATGGATAAAACCCTTCAACAAAACTTCGTTCAAACTGATCCCAATGACAACCACTACGGCATTTTGTCACAGATTTACAATCAATATTAATAATTCCCTAGAATTGGTGATCGATCGGGAGTCAGAAAAATGTTACAATTATCGTGATTAAACCTCAGATATTAGAAATTCTGCAGGACTTTGTAAATAACATCATTTATGATATAATCAAACTTGACCAAGTAACACTGAGTCTAGCTTATGTAACAGGAAAACCCTATAATGAAAAAAATTTACCTTCTTGTCGGTAGACGCATAAATGTTTCAGATAATGAGCCATCCTCCCCACGATACGCCCGAATTCGATCAAACAGTTCTTGACACAAATCCAACTACAGTAGTAGGAGTATCAAATACAGACATGTATACATTAAAAAGAATAAGTAAAAAATACAAACCTTAGAAGTGAACATTCCAGTCTCATTCACAAAGAATTATGACAGACCTATATTATCTTCCAATTTGATGTTGATACACAGTAATCAAGACCTCCAGAAGCAGGTGTTCGTTGAGACGAGACATGTTATTTAAATTATAGCAGGTGATCAATGTTTTGAAAGCCTATCTTTGACATATAGTATTTCAAAACTCTAGCTGTATAGAACTGGAATTTGCCGATCTGTTACGGCTCCACAGTTGGGGTCCTACAGCTAATGCAACCCAGTAACTTGAGACGCTGTTAATATGATTTAAACTGGAATTCAAAGGCATTCCTGATGTTCATTATTACCACCCTCTTAATAAAACTGATAAGTGTTTCCTTAACTATATCATTCTTGGCTGTATTTTCTACCTGAACTGTATCTCTTATGAAATACTATTCATGTTTATTTATCTACTGACTGTACGCTTCTCCTCTTTATTTGTTCATTATATCGTCCATACATTTTTGTCTACTTTTCAGTCCCCTATTATACCACGATCTATGTGCTTAATATAAAAATAAAACACTACAAAATTTTTAAGTTTCGATTCTTTATCTATTTAGTTAACATAAAATATGGCACAACTAGATACCAGAAATCGTATGCGCCACACAATATTTTTGTGGGATGGAGTGCTGCTTTGAAATCCAAATCGAGATAGGTAGTTTTCAAAAAGGGCTGAACACTCAACTCCTATAGATGGATCCTCTGTTTCCCAATCCAGTTAAAGTACCCTAAACTCGCTTTCTGTCTTCTGATTTCCATAAACAATATCGCAGCAGCGTGGTGCTGTGTAGGACTTGAATCCTCTACTGGCTGGTATTATGTGTTTGGAAGGGTTTGTTTGGTGAGATTCATATTCCCGTGATCAATTTTAAATCAGAATTGCTAAAATGCACTTTTCCAAACGAGAAAAAAGAATTCGCTAAAAACTTGGACATAATGGACTTCTTATAAACATAGCCCTTTATTCTCGGACCTTAGCTGAAACATTTTACTCTTACAGCAAAAATGCTCCGCACACTTAGGGAATTGCTCTGGTGCTGTCCAAAAAAGCACAGAATGCACTTATTGGATGGGAATCTCATGGATAAAGAACCAACAAAGCATCCTTGAAAACAAAGGAGAAAATCACAATGAATGTTGCCGCGTTATGCGCCCACAAATTATAGCAATAAAGATTATAAAGATCAGCTTTATAAGAGGCTTCAGTTGATCGTAGAGAAGTGCTTAGCAAAGGACCCGATCATCCTGATGAGAGACCTAAACACCAGGGTCAGAGTGGAAAACATAGGGTGTGAACAAATCATGAGACGACATGGACTGAAAAAGAAGAACGAGAATGGTGAGAAGTTTGCGAAATTATGCACAATAGTTATAGGTGGCATTATAATGACCCACAAACCCATTCACGAATCTACATGGGTTTCACCGGGTCATATTAAAGAGAACCAGATCAAACATATTTGCATCGCTAACAAATTCAGATCAATGACAGACGTGAGAACAGAGATAGATGACACAGATTCACATCACCTGAAGTTATATGAGAACTGTACAACTGGAAAAACAGAATTACAAAAGCTCACCAGTCTTTCTTCGAAATACTGGCAGACCCAATCAATTCAAGACAGCGCTCAACAACAGGTTCCAAACATTGAAAGATTTACTCAAAGAAGATGAAACTACTATGAAAAACGATTGAAAAGGGATCACAGAAGTATTAACTTCAATTTACCAGGAGGAGCTGGACCACAACAAGCATCATCATAATGAATGGATCTATATCAAAACTCTGGACAGAATTCAAGTCTGGAAGAACAAGAAGACAACAACTAAAAACAGCCAAACCAGAACAAAGAAAGTCAAGGCACAAGCTCAATACACTGAATCAAACAAACTAGTAAAAAGGAACATTAAAGCTGACAAGCAAAGATACATGCAAGACCTAGCAATAAAAGCGTAAAAGGTTAGAAGTGAAGGAAATATTAAGGTAAAATAGTAAACCAAAGAAACCAGTGAAGAACAAAGAAGGCAAGCCAATCCTCGACATTCAAGGACAGAGTAAAAGATGGGTGGAACACTTTGAGGAACTCTTGAAAAGGTCAGCTCCGTTAAATTCATCGGACATCGAAGCAGCACACACAGACATTCCTATAGTTGTCACTACACCAACAATCCAAGTCATGATAGCCACCATACAAATCAAAAGCGGTAAAATCAGATATAAAAGTAACTGCAAAGATGCTCCAAACCAAATCGCCACACTACAGATTATCGATGAACAATCAAGTGAATGGAACTCATCACTGCACATCATCCCCCTTGACTATAAGGCGGTTGACATTGTGGATAAGAGAACTTTATGGGACTCTGTTCGACACCATGGTGTACCTAAAAAAATTGTCAGCATCACACGGAATTGATACGACGGACTACACTGCAAAATCGTGCATGGGGTACAGCTGACAGACGCATTCCAAGTGAGGACGGGAGTCAGACAAGGCTGCTTACTCTCCCACTTTCTCTTTCTTCTGGTGATTGACTGGACTATGAAGAACTCCACATCTGAGGGGAAGCACGCAATACAATGGAGAGCTTGGATGTAACTAGAGGATTTGGACTTCGCAGATAATATAGCCCTTCTATCCCATACACAAGAACAAATACTGGTCAAGACAACCAGTGTACCAGAAGCCTCTGCATCAGGAAGCCTCAACATACCCAAGGGAAAATGCATCATCATCAAATACAACGCGGAGAGTACCAAACAAATCACACTTTATGGAGAGGTCGAATCTTCCACGTATCTGTGCAGCATTATCGATGAACAAGGAGGAACCGATGAGGATGTAAAGGTAGGATTGGCAAAGTAAGTGTAGCATTCCTACAGTTGTAGATCATATGGAACTCAGAACAACTGTCGACCAACGTCAGTCAGAATCTTCAATACGAACGTCAAGACAGTTATGCTATACGGAGATGAATTGTGGAGAGCTATCCCAATCATTGTCAGAAGGAAATGAGTAATTCTAAGTAACTACCAACATACTCCAGATGCGTTGAAAATACATCAAAAATAATAACCCATTCTGGTGAAAAAGTCCAGGTTCCCTTTTAGAAAATTAGGAATATACATTAGAGACAAATACATCACAATTTATGAGCATCATCAGACTGAATCACAAAGCTAGTCGATACTTGAAATCTTTGGAGCGAAAGAACAAGAGGCAGACATCAAAAGAATGGTCATTACTTGGATTCCATTGGTAAGGGTAGATCAAGGCAGAGTTGGTTGTAAACCTGTGGTCCACGACCTTGTATTCTGAAAAATATAGGTTCAGTTGAACATTCGGAGAATATCAGTGCAGGTGAACGCGAAAACATTTAGCCAAGACTGTATGGCTGGACAATACATATGCAGTTACTCTATTTACTCAATTCGTCTTTTACTCAATATATAGTATCCTATTCCCGGAACAAAGTTCCTCACAAACAATGCAACTGACTTCCGTAGGCTATCCAATGTAAGACATGGTGTGAATCGTACTCAAGCCGTTAAAGAATAGGCATTCCCATTGACCTTTTTTCCTTTCTTTCATTAAAGTCAACTCAATAAACTTGTAAATTCTACTGAAAGTGTTTCATCAAAAACGTACAAGTATTTATAAACAATTATCAATGCAACATAATCGATGTCTGTTGACCAGACACCATCAGCAACCGCCTACTGTGGGAGAAAACAAACCAACTCCCAGATCAAGAGGAAATTAGGAAATGTTGGGGAGGGATAGAGCATACGTCGTGGAAATCATCAAGCTGCATCACAAAACAAGCGCTAACTTGGAATCTTGAAAGCAAACGGAAAATAGGAAGGCCAAACGGCACAGCCAAAAACTGGAGGCAGACATGAAAAGGAGGAACATCAAACGGAAAAGACTGCCCAGGACAGAGTTTGATAGAGAATGCTGGTGGGCGGTTTATACTTCTCTAAGAGGGGTAACAGACGTATGTTAGTAAGAAGTGAATATCAGATAACATAACTTATATTAACTAAAAACCACACTGGAAAGGGGAAAATGATTTCAGAAATCATAGCGATTCAAAACAAACAACCATATACAGGCCCCTTAATAAAGTATTACCTGTGAAGCAGTAGCCAGACGACATCGTTTTCGAGTTGTTACACTGCTCGTTTGAGACTCGTCTCCCGACACTCCAGTTACCGAATCAGTAGGAGATTCCGGGTTGTTGCGCTTCGGCATCCGAGGTGTATCTGCAAAAGAAATTACTTGAAACTCAATACTACCTAAAACAACTAATTATGTAGCTGTGGATACAACACTAATGAATATATACTGAGACCGACTAGGTTCGATTTGAGTTACATAATAATACGCAGTCGATGCATTGGTGGTATTAGCAACGGCAGAGAGAATCATAGTCAAACGACAAAAGGATTTCCTAAAACTCCACAAACTTGAGTACATTACAACAGACTACTGACACACCACAAGTGATAAAAGTATTGAAATAACGAGAAATAAGACGCAAAATTAGATTTACAGCTAGTTTGTTTGACGCACAAAAATACTTGGTTACTCTAAGCAAAGTCAATGTATTCTTCTAGTAAATGGTTCAAATTTACTGAGGAACGGGTGAGCATAATAACAATCAAATTTATTGATTTTCCAGTGGGACTATAATTTATGAACGACCTTTGAGCGATGCTAAAATGACCTTGGGGATGTCCACCTTCTGACTAGGACTAAATGAGGGTTTTAAACCTGTGTGAACGACAAGCATTATAATCTACAGTTGATGGTTAGTAATATTGATTAGATTTAGAGTTTTCATCACCAACTGACATCAGCTGAAGTGCCAAGACGCTATTTAACTAAATGGATAAAACATTTCGCCCCGAAACTTCGGGACTTGCTATCGTAAATCTGATTGATTCGTCCATAAATTACAGTCTCGTCGATTTTCTTCACACACGAAATTCAGTGACTGTAACTGAAAGATCGATCAGTCACACCGTAAAACCAGGTGCGTATGTTCATTGGTTTAAGTTGGCAACCTTATTAGCACGAGATGAAATTATTAGGCTAAACACCCGAGTAGAGGTAGTAACATATAAGTAATAATGGAGAGAACTAGGCATCAAAGATGCGACTAAAGAAAATATGAATTAGCGAAAGAGCTCATCAATAACGTCATGGCAGCCTATGCACACTCCACCACACATGTTTACTGGACACCTAGATATGCTCATATTTTAACAGCATTTCCATGTAGCTGATATCAATTACATGGCGCTTCTGTTGAATATCAGGTATTATGGATCAGTAGTAAATGAACCTATATGACATTTAAGTGACACAGCAAATAAAGAAATTGGGCAGTTTATAATATAACAATTATACTCATGAGTCGCTATTTAAAAAGGACAGTGGTATTGTTTCTCGTTGAGTTAAATTTACTGTTTTGATCGTGAACTACGCGTCAAAACTACTGTTTACACTTTAATTGAATCTATTCCGGTTAAAGTGATATTGTAATTGAGTGTTTTGACATTGCTTTTGTGTGTTTATTGCATCGAAGCATACTTGGTCGACTTGGACTTAATTTATTTAGTTAAAGTTTAAGATTTCTTTTACATATTCAGTTTGTGTCAGTTTTGGTTGATTTTTAAGACGGTCAGCTCTGCTCATAAATATGGACAGTCTTATTGCTTATTCCTCGTGGAGGAAGGAATGAAATGTGATGAGTGTAATAAGTGGTTCCATAAGATGTGTACCCAATTAAGCCCCACTGTATATAGAAGGTGCTTAAAGCCCAACTCTTATTGGCTTTGTACGTTTTGTTGCTCGAACAAAACATTACTCATCCAGGAAGCAATTAGCCTCCTGGCGTTGGCTAATAAGAAGGTTGACGAGGGCTGCACTGGTAACGGGTACTGATGGCGAAGATTGCGTCAGTGTCATAAGTGCTGTCATGGCACAGGCCAGACATCCAACTACGCAACCCGTAATCGAACCTTCTACCCCGAAACAATTAATGAGAGATACGTCATTAGATATTGATAGCCAAGTTGCTACAGCAGCGACCAGTGATCCAGACAACCGTCCCAAGTAGTTCTAATGTAGATGCTACGACTGATGGGAAATGGATGACGCGTAAACGCAGAAGAGTGAGAAACATAGCCAAAACTAATGCCCGTTAACGAGTTACCACCGTTGCTTAGGTCGTCCACATTGTTTGCAGATGACGTAAAAGTCTGGAGAATAGAAAATGAGGCTGATCATTTTGATCTCCAAGCTGACTTAGACGAATTAGTTAGATGGGATCGAGGGTAGGGCTCAGAAATCAACTCTAGGAAGGGTGTGCTAATGCACATCGATCACAGTTCCCATTATAATATTGATGGTAAACCTCTTCCACGAGTTCAAGAACATATAGACTTAGGAGTAATAATAGTCATCTCTTGAAAACAACTACGCAATGTAACGCAGCTGTTTTTAGAGGTTTTCGTGCATTATGGTCACTTTGTCGAGCACTCAAATCTTTTGACGAGTAAATGTTTCGAATTTTCTATCCCACCCATGTAAGACCACATTTAGGGTACTGTATCCAAGCAGCTAGCCTATGTCTGGTAAACGATACTAACTCACTTGAGCGTGTTCAGCGTGTGAGAACAAAATTAGTGAAGGGTTTTTCTAAACTCCCTTAAAATGAGTGTTTAGAACGCCTAAACCTTTCCCCCTTGTCGTATCGTGAGACGCCAGGTGACGTCATACTGATACTTCGTACCTTAAGTTATGATTCGGGCGTTAATGTTTCATCTTTTTGTTCCCTTCAGCACTAATAATCTCCGAGGTCATAGCAAGAAGGTTTACAAACCGCTATCTAATAAACTTAGAGTGGGGTCCCGTTTTTCTCATCGAGTAATTAATGACTGGAACTCCTTACCCAAACAAGTGGTGTCAGCCCCATCAAAAAATATTCTCAAAGATAAGCTGGACCTTCACTGGAAGGAAATCTGCCAGGATTAACACAGGTTCACCAACTTACTATCCTTATTACTGAAAACTAAGTCAGTCACATTAATACGTGCTGGTAAAAGTAAACATCATTATCGCAAAGAACCAAATTAAAAAATTAACTTGATTTATTATGTGAGCAAATAATGAGAGAAAACTCTACTTTTCTAGTTCATGAGCATTAATAGATGCAGCACAACTACTTCGGAAGTAGCGGAACAAATGAAGAAAGCGCTTCGAGGGAAATAACAATCACTTTAAATATCATCAAGAGTGCAACATCTAGCACTTTCTACCGTTTTTTCCACTCATTAGTAGACAAATAAAGCAAATGAGAGAATTCTTTCATTGAATATTTGACTTCAATCGTTCATAGCCATCTGGATACGTCTATGAAAGCGGAACTATGAAGCATCTTATATTACCGGATACAAAACTTACGCTTAAAAATGAAATCTTCGGTAGAAATTAAACTTAACCATGAAGCGTATGCTCGTTAAGCTGACATAAAATAGCTAAAGACTGAATACATCAAATATAGATAAAATGCCTTATAAACTTGCAGACGCGCAAACAACCCCCTAATTGACATAATATTACTCCATACGATACCTAAAAACGGGGTTCATCCTGAAAAATCACGAAATATCAGAAGACACATTCGAGCTTTATGATGTTTCTGAGATCTGCATTTATTTCACTATCATATATTCGCGCGCTATTGTAAAAGTGTCGATGTATTTTTCCTCGTCGAGTGAATTTTTTGGTTCGAACTTTGTTTAGAAGTGTAAAAGCTTATTTAATGCCTGTTTAAATCGAACTTTTAGCTACAGTAACATATACGTTTCACTCTTCCGATAGATAAATGGCAAGAACAACTCTTAAAGACCCTTGATATTAGCATCTAACGATAGGATTAATGTTATGCTAACAAGCTGATCGAATTGCAGTCTAACTTCGCAGCTTGTCAAGTGCGATTCACACACATATCTACATTATAGCTTATCTCGTCTTAGTAGCAACCAATGCTAAAGACCAAAAAATAAATTCGGTATAGACACTCAATATTTTCATCCGATGTATTTTTCATGCGGTTATTCACAACTTTCCTTTTTAAGTACAGTTCTAACAATACCAAGTTGCATGTAAAATAATATTAACACCGGTAGACACTATAATACTCACAAAAAACGATGAAGCCATTAACTAGATTATGATTGATATGTTTGTTTTGATACAAGACTATCGGTAGGCTATCAAAACCTCATATATGGCTGTTATGCTCCAAATAACTTTTCAGGTGTAGTAAGAGTTCAAAAGATACTTTAACCAGACTACATTAATTGTATAGTGTAACATTTTGTCACTCATGAACGATCAATAAAATGTAACTAAGCAACTGGCAATTTACTAATTAGGTTGAGCCGTTTCAACACTTAAAGTCTGAACACTGGGCTGAGAACTGTGCGGCAAATACCATAAAACTCAACGGTAGCTAACACTGACAGGTCAAACCAACGACGTCAATCATCCCCTGGGGTAGTCAATATGATAGATTAATGCTTTATTCTACACTACTAGAGTAATAGACCTGACCCAATGTTATTACCATCCAAAATGGCTTATTAGTACATTGGTATCATAAACCATTCTGGGTTTCCTCAGAAACGCAGTTACACACAAATTTCAATAATGTTTACGAAATATTCACCATACTGAACACTTTCAGTAGAATTTACAAGTTTATTGAGTTGACTTTAATGAAAGAAAGGAAAAAAGGTCAATGGGAATGCCTATTCTTTAACGGCTTGAGTACGATTCACACCATGTCTTACATTGGATAGCCTACGGAAGTCAGTTGCATTGTTTGTGAGGAACTTTGTTCCGGGAATAGGATACTATATATTGAGTAAAAGACGAATTGAGTAAATAGAGTAACTGCATATGTATTGTCCAGCCATACAGTCTTGGCTAAATGTTTTCGCGTTCACCTGCACTGATATTCTCCGAATGTTCAACTGAACCTATATTTTTCAGAATACAAGGTCGTGAACCACAGGTTTACAACCAACTCTGCCTTGATCTACCCTTACCAATGGAATCCAAGTAATGACCATTCTTTTGATGTCTGCCTCTTGTTCTTTCGCTCCAAAGATTTCAAGTATCGACTAGCTTTGTGATTCAGCCTGATGATGCTCATAAATTGTGATGTATTTGTCTCTAATGTATATTCCTAATTTTCTAAAAGGGAACCTGGACTTTTTCACCAGAATGGGTTATTATTTTTGATGTATTTTCAACGCATCTGGAGTATGTTGGTAGTTACTTAGAATTACTCATTTCCTTCTGACAATGATTGGGATAGCTCTCCACAATTCATCTCCGTATAGCATAACTGTCTTGACGTTCGTATTGAAGATTCTGACTGACGTTGGTCGACAGTTGTTCTGAGTTCCATATGATCTACAACTGTAGGAATGCTACACTTACTTTGCCAATCCTACCTTTACATCCTCATCGGTTCCTCCTTGTTCATCGATAATGCTGCACAGATACGTGGAAGATTCGACCTCTCCATAAAGTGTGATTTGTTTGGTACTCTCCGCGTTGTATTTGATGATGATGCATTTTCCCTTGGGTATGTTGAGGCCTCCTGATGCAGAGGCTTCTGGTACACTGGTTGTCTTGACCAGTATTTGTTCTTGTGTATGGGATAGAAGGGCTATATTATCTGCGAAGTCCAAATCCTCTAGTTACATCCAAGCTCTCCATTGTATTGCGTGCTTCCCCTCAGATGTGGAGTTCTTCATAGTCCAGTCAATCACCAGAAGAAAGAGAAAGTGGGAGAGTAAGCAGCCTTGTCTGACTCCCGTCCTCACTTGGAATGCGTCTGTCAGCTGTGCCCCATGCACGATTTTGCAGTGTAGTCCGTCGTATCAATTCCGTGTGATGCTGAAAATTTTTTTAGGTACACCATGGTGTCGAACAGAGTCCCATAAAGTTCTCTTATCCACAATGTCAACCGCCTTATAGTCAAGGGGGATGATGTGCAGTGATGAGTTCCATTCACTTGATTGTTCATCGATAATCTGTAGTATGGCGATTTAGTTTATTTACGATCTGTCATTACGTAATCTAGCTTACTGATCTCAGAGTTGAGCGTCTCTTGAACTTTTTATCCGGTTCAGCAGCACTCTTGAAAAGTCTTCCTGGTACCGATAGCAGTGTGGTGCCTCTGTATATATATATCTGGTGCCACCTTGTGGTAATATTTATGTGTCCAAATCAAATATCGTATGAATAACAACGAATACCACTACATGTTTTTGAATTATCATAGTTTGTATAGGTCACTCAATTTTCTCAATATGATGTAAATTTCTTATTATGCTCAAGATGACATTCAAAAAACAAGGGGACGATAAACGAGATCAAAAACCTACGTAATTATATCTAACCATCATATTATCCAGCACGAAAGCAGACAGCCAGTTGCTTATAGATTTTGTAGTGATATTAAGGTCGTTCTTGACTAAGCTCAAGGTCATGGCGTGATTCAGCGTGTGACTGTGTAACAGTTTGGGTTGATTGAATAAAAGAGTTGACGTCAAACAACTAAGCATATGTTAAAACAGTATAGTTATAATAATAATAATAATTTATTCTCAAATAACATTTTGTTACATGAGTCATGCCAGTTTACAGGCAAGATCAAATTGTTACAAATGATACAATTTCCAACTGTAGTAAATTAATCAGCTGGGTCTATAATTTATAAGATATGAATGTAGAATGGTTTTAGTCAGTATCACAGTTGCGACGTGCAACTGACGGTCGATACTAGATTCATGTGCAGTTGAGGGCTTCTAGAAATCGCAGTCTTATATCCCTTTGGAATATTTGAGTCTTTAAAGATGGTGCAGGACGGGGTCACTCGTTCCGTATCTCAAGGGGGCTGAAAAACGGTTCAAGAAAACAAAAAAAAGGACGAGAAGCAGAGAAGACAGTGTTCATGAAGTAGTGGTTGAGGTATGACTACTCAGTCTGATTCTCTTTCATTAAAGTATTTTAGTAAGCAGGAACATCCTAGTAGGTTAAAGTAAATAACTGTAGACAAGGTATGAGTGAATAATCAACTGACAAATGGAGGTGGTTCAGAAAGAAACTGAGAGTATGAGAATATGTAGTTATAAAATATAGTGCTAAAAGCAGTAATACGATACACAAATGGCTGTCTCCCTTTTTTTTGTCGACGCTATTGGAGCCTTTTTTAGATTTTATAGGGTCTTGAGTAGGCTTCGTTTTTTTTATCGAATTGTCTAGTTTGCTTGTAATAGGATTACTGGGTAGGAAGTTAAACCAATTAAACATTCTAAACACGATTTAAAGAGGTATTTCGCATGATAAGTCATCATCAATACCACTAGTTCGTGACATTCCAATAGACCATAAGGAGCCGTAATTTAACAAAATGTTCTGCCCTACAGACATGGGTGGATTGAGGTTATCTCCCCGCCATCATGTTTGCTGGTCAGTAACGCCACCCTCCCTCCTTTTGTGATGTTAGGCTCTCTTACGTTTGCGGTAAGTATGCATACTGCTTTAATCAAAGCACATGGTTGGAATACACTGTCTCTACTAGTTCCATGTTACAAGCAAATCATGTAGTTAAAGCGTTCGTATTATGGGTTAGATGTCCATTTAGTATATCACACTGCTATGAAGATAACTAATGGTGAAAGATAAAAAAACAGGTCAGATTATGAGTGGTTTAAAGATAGTAGGACCAGTAGCAAATCAATTGATATGAAAGAGTATAAAATTGTAGAAATTTTAGGGTAAGAAAAATAAAAACACAGCAACTCACAAGATTTTCTGATCAATTTTGAGCTTCGTATGATCGGCCTTAGCAGATCAGCATCCATAAGATTACTGAGTTATCTGTCTACTTGCAATAGAAAAAAAAAGACATGACACTTAGGAAGAAAAATGTTTATTTAACCAGTAGGGGGATTTGGGAACTGAAAGTGAGGGTTAGGAGCATTAGGCCTGGATTAATGCACAATGAATAATAGGAAACGGCAAACCGTATGTCCTAAAATTTAGTTGTATTCATATTATTAATAGTTGGTGTTGGGGTATTCAGAAAATACCCCAGAAATTATCTAATGCTATTCCTGAATGAGAAGTAGTGTCATTTCCTCATTGGTCAACATTCTTCCAACGTGTCATC